TCTTAAAAAACCCCAAAAAACAGGGGGGATTTAAATGGAATTTGGATACTTAAAATATGAGAAACCCCTACTGGCTGGTATCTAAACATAAAAACACCTGAACTATACAGGTGTCTTACTTTTTTCACCTTAAAGTTTCCAAGGTGCCTAAAACTCCACTTCTGTGAATGGCCAGAAATGCCCTGGGCTTAACAGGGCTGAGTATCCCAGCACCTAGCTCACACCTAAGCCCAATCAAGATATAGAAATACAAACCCTAGAATAGCTTTGCCAGGAGTTTCAAACCAGAAGGCACTCTCAGAACACATCTAGCACAAAAAACGAAATGCAGAGGGTGGTGTGGAGGGAGGAGGGGGAGTGCAGTGGGCATTGTTTTCTTTTAAAATCCAGCTGAAAAATAGCAACCTCCTTTTATACAACAGGTATAGGAGTTTAAAAAATAAAGTCACCAGGAAGTGGCAGAGCTGGGAATTCTACCAGAGGGAATTCAAACCTTGATCTCCCATCTTTAATGGAAAGTGGTCCAACTATTGAGCTATAGGCTATACAAGGGATGAGCAAAATATAGCCCTAAGGGCCATACCCAGCCCACCTACTGATCTTATCTGGCCTGCTGGCTGCTGCCAGGAGCCTGAGGAGGTAGGGCTGAGCCCTGCACCACTCCAGTCTGCCACAGCCATAAAATGCTCATCAAAACCCATTAAATAGCTTGCCAGCCCAAATAATTGCCAACCCCTGGGCTATACTGACTGGAAAAGCATACTAACCACCTCTCCAGTGGAAGCCATTTCACTGTGGAAAAAAAGAATTCAAGATTTATTGAACCATAAACAGCATGACTCTAGAAGCTAGTAGTTTTATCTGGGAGGTGGATCTGGTCTTTGCTACAGTAAATGTTTAAGTCCTTATTAAGTAGTTTCTACTGGTACAATTATGGCCAGACCAAACTGTCACCTAAGTGACAATCCTAAAGTTACACCGAGTCAGTGGCACAAGTCAGGAACAGAACTCTCATTTCCTTACTTTCTTGTTGGATCTGGCCCTTAGTTTCCATGTGCATTGGTTTCCCATTTATGAACAGGGTTAAGAAGCAGGAGCATTGAGGGGGAATAAATATTAGAGATGGTCAGGAAGATTCAGGCAATTTTTTTT